GACCCCGGAGGCCCCAGTCGCCCGAGACGTCCTCGGAGAACGGCCCGAGTCCCAAGACCGTGCGGTGACCCCGAATCCCCACCAACTCCCCGCACGGTGTGGTCACCGCCACGTTTGGGGACCCCCGAAACTCCCCAACCCACATCTGAGAGGGCGGCAAGGAAAACGGAAACGGAACCCGAAAGCCCTGCTGACGAGCGTTTTCTTGATCGGCGTTTTGACATTGGGCGGAAGGGGCGGGAGGGGGGGGGTCTGGCTCCAGACCTGTGCTTCATGCGACTGGTTGCAGCAGCGCGGCCTATGGGGGAGCCTCCACGGGCTCGAAACAGGCGCCAAAAACAGCCAAGATCTACTCCAGGGGGGTGCGAGGGCCCGCGCCGATCGGAAAGACAGGGAATAAGAAAACGATCACCAGCGCCACTAAACGCCGCCTAACCCGGCGCAGCGTTATCACGGGCGCGGTGGCGATTTGCTGCGGCGGTGCTGAAAGGCTGTACAGCCGGCCCATATCAGAAGGATGCGCGAAAAGGATGCACGGACCTTGGACGCCCATTTCGAAGCTTTTCGAGCGGGGCGCGGCCAGCGCGGCCAACGGAGGTGACCAATGATGGGCCGAAGGGGCAAGGATGCAAGGATAGCCTTGGGAAAGTTGCCCATCCTTACTGTGCGGGTTGACTGTAATAGCATGCACATGCTTTGCCAGGTTTGCCTGGGCTTGCTGATCGACTGGGTTCTTTCTGCTTGGCATGGGCTGGGCCTGGCTTGGACCCGACCTTGTCTGGGATGCCTATTGCTCCTCGCCTGCAGGCGCATGTTGTGCCCGACTTCCTCGTGACCGTGGCCGACCTTGCCTGGCTGCTCCGCGGGGCGGAGACAGAGCCCCTCAGTGGTGACCCGCCCCCACAGGCAGTGCCGGCTCCCCGACGCCCCAGGGGAGGCCAGCAGGTGGAGGCGCGCCTCCGCCATCGCGGGGCGGCTGCTCGAGTCCAGCTGCCAGCACTCTTCGGCCAGCATCGCCTGGACGCCCGCCAGCCGCCGCCGCTACGACGACCGACGACGACGACCGACGACGACGACGACGACGACGACGACCACGACGACGACGACGACGACGACGACGACGACGACGACGACCACCACGACGACGACGACCACCACGACGACGACCACCACGACGACGACCACCACGACGACGACCACGACGAGGAGAACCGATGCCCCCCACACGCCCGGCGGGCCTCCTCGGTCCCGGCGGCGCCGGCGGCGAAAGGCGGGCGCCGCCCTGCAGCCACCGCCTCGCGCGCAGCGCGGATCGTCTCGCCTCACCCCCCCCTGACTAGCTACCAGACCTTGGAGGCCTGGAAATTGGCACCAACACCAGCACAGGGGTTTGCCTCCACATGGGAAAGACGATCCTAGATTTCGGTGTTGGTGGTAATATTTCGGTCACCTTGGAAGCCAGAATATTACCACCATCACCGAGATCGGGATCTTCTTCCCTCGGTGGAGGCACGCCGCCGATCTTGGTGTTGGTGTCAACCTCTAGGCCTGCGACTAGACCACCCCAACCCAACCCGAAGACCCTGGGGGGGGTGCGGGTTCCACACGTGTTTGCTCAGTGTTCCCCGACCCCCCCCCCACTGGAAACGGAGGACAAGCTGAAGCCTGCGGGTTGGGTTGGGGTGTGTTGGTGGGTGGCGACCCCTCGCCCCGCGCACATGTGTTGGGGCGTCGCGGCCACCCGCGCAGCCGCGCGGCGTGGGAAGTCGGGCGCAGACACGCGCGCGGGGGCCGCCGCACACGCATGCACATGCACACGTTCTCGCGTCGCGGCCGCGCGCGCGCGCCCACCCGCGCGGCGGCGACGCGCAAACCCGAACGGGTCCCAAGGGGAACGAGTGCCTCCTGTCCACTCCTCAGCAAGGCACGCGCACACTCTTACCTCTCCGCCGGTCGAGCGTCATTACCACGCGAGCACGCACGCACACGCACGCACGCACGCACGCACGCACGCACGCACGCACGCACATACACACACACACACACACACACACACACACACACGCACACACACACACACACACGCGCACACGCACACACACACACACACACGCGCACACACTCGGGTCGTGCCGGCGCGGTGACTCGCCAGCGCGTCGGGCGCCCCTCACGGGCGAGAGCAGTGTCAGAAGATAGAAAAAAAAGAGACGGCTGGCCCGGGCAGGCAGCAGGCAGCGGCCGCGGGGGCGGCGTGGCAGCGGGCGGGCGGGGCCGCAGGCGGCGGAGCGGGGCGGGGCAGCAGCAGGGCGACGCCGCGCCAGAGGGAGGCGGGCGTAAAGGCCGGCGCGCGGCAGCGCAGTCGGGGGGGGCCAACCCAAAGTGAGGCGGGCGAGGAGCCACGGCAGAAAGCTAGCGGCGGGCGGCCGCAGCTGGGAAAGCCGCAGCGCGCTGGAGAGACCAGCGGGCTGGGGAGGGGCGGGGCAGTGCGGGGCGGAGCGAGGGGAAAACCGCGGCGGGCTGCAAGAAACACACACACACACAATCGCACACTTTTGGCGGAGTGCCCTCGCGCGCAGCGACGAGGCGGAGCAAGTGGAGTTAACGGCAAGGAACTGACGCGCGCGGCCGAGCCCTCAGACGCGGGAGCACTTTGGGTCACCCGCGCATGACCACCAGGGCGTGGGTGGCGAGTGAAAATTGAGGCGGCGTCCGCAGACGGAGACGACGGTACCTGACGAACGACATCTACCGGATGGTGGGGAGGGCGCCCAGGCTGATAACAAGACGAGCCGGACTGCCGGACTGGGGTGCCCGCGGTGGGGTGGCCGACGGCGCAGGACGCGAAAGATCCACGGCTGTCCCAAAGTGGGAAGACGGGGTGGGGGAACTGCGACAGCGCAAAGCTGCAGGGAAGGGAAAGGCGCATGGCCGCGCCAGGCGACACAACACACACACACACACATACATACATACATACATACATCCATCCACACATACGTACATACGTACATACATACATAGTTTCTCTACACTACACTACTGTACATTACACTGCACTGCACTACAAAACATGTTATTGCACTACGAAACCTTACAATGCGATGCCTCATTTTACATCACATCCCACTACAGTACATTACAATGCATTGCGTCACATTACATTACATTACACCACTTGACATTACAGTTCACTACAACACGTATTACAGAACATGGATATGCAATACCTTACGCTTACCAGACATTACATGACTCTTCATTCCATTACGTTACACTACGTTACATTCCACTACACTACACTACACTATAACTCATCGCACCCAATCCCACCAGCCCTCTGGGCGTGAGTGGTTTAGCGAGCTCTCTCTGTTCTCAACCCCCTTCTTCCCCTTCGGGGAGGGGTTTACCCCTCCCCCTACCCCCTCCCCCTGGACCTGGAGGGGGCCTTTCGCGGGTGGTTGGAGGGTCCTTTTCCGACCCCTGGGAGGGCTAAAATTCGACACCCCTCACGAGGATCGTGGCCCCGACGGGGGGACTGACGGAAATGCTCGCCCCATCTGTGATCGATCGCCCCAAAGATGGCCCCAACAGGCCCCCAAGACGCTCCAAGAGGCGCCCAAGAGGGCCCCCGGACGCTCCCAAGAGGCCCCAAGAGGCCTCCAAGAGGCCCCCAAGATGCCCCCAAGAGGCCCCCAAGAGGCCCCGAGAGGCTCCCCCGAGGCACCCAAGACGCTCCTGGAAGCCCCTGGGGCCGCCAAGAGGCCCCCAAGACGCCCCAAACGGCCTCCAAGAGGCTCCCAAGAGGCCCGAAGAGGCTCCCCCAAGGCACCCAAGACGCTCCTAGAAGCCCCTGGGGCCGCCAAGAGGCCCCCAAGACGCCCCAAAAGGCCTCCAAGAGGCTCCCAAAAGACATCTACTACTACTACTACTACTACTACTACTACTACTACTACTACTACTACTACTACTACTACTACTACTACTACTACTACCACTACTACTACTACTACTACTACTACTACTACTACTACTACTACTACTACTACTACTACTACTACGAGGGGCCCGAACGACTTGCACCAGGACGAGGTGCCCGAACGCCTCACGCCACGAGGAGCCCGAACGACTCACACCAGGACGAGGGGCCCGAACGACTCACACCACGAAGAGCCCGAACGACTCACACCAGAAGGAGGGGCCCGAACGACTCACACCAGGACGAGGCGCCCGAACGACTCACACCACGAGGAGCCCGAACGACTCACACCACGACGAGGGCCCCGAACGACTCACACCACGAGGAGCCCGAACGAGTCACACCAGGAGGAGGGGCCCGAACGACTCACACCAGGACGAGGGGCCCGAACAACTCACACCACGAGAAGCCCGAACGACTCACACCAGGACGAAGAGCCCGAACGACTCACACCACGAAGAGCCCGAACGACTCACACCAGGAAGAAGGGCCCGAACGACTCACACCAGGACGAGAAACCCCAACGACTCAAACCACGAGGAGCGCTTTCTCTCCCTCCTCCTCCGCCTCGTCCTTCTCCCGCTCCCACCACAAGGAGGATGTACAAGGAGGCGGGAGGAAGGAGGAACAGGGGAGATATGCGGGGGCAGGCGGAAACACGCCTGAAAAACACGACTGTCGGCATGCTTCGCAAGAGTTGCTGTTTTGAGATGGGCTGGTGGGGATACGCGAAGCGTGAAGAAATTTATTCCATCCCAAAACATTACATAACCTTACAAACAAATCAATAGATCACAGCACTGCGCATTCCATTACATTACATCGCCTAGGACCCCATGGCAGTTCAGTACAATACAATGCAGCACGCTACATTCCATTACAATGCGTTACGATAAATCGCATGACAGTTATTTACATTCCATTTCACCACAGTACATTACATTCCAATACATAACACTACGACAATCTACACTGCCTTACATGGCATTACATTGCATTACAATACGTTACAGTACAATAAACTCGACTACCCTACATTACACAACAAGACATTCCATCACATGACATTACATTACAGTACAGCATCTTACATTTCAGTACACTACATTGACATTATAATGGCATTACATTGCGCTACGGCATTATATTTCAGTACAGCACAGCACTACGTTATATTGGCATTACATTGCGCTACAGTACATTACGTTACATTACCCCACATTGAATTACATTACAATGCATTCATACACACATTTTTGGCGTCACGGCCACGCAGGGGGGCAGCCGCGATGAGGAGGGGCGAAAGGAAAGACGCAAACTAGGCGCGTTCGTGTCATATCTGACATCCGATCCCTCCCTCCCATCCTTTCCCATTGCGCTGATTATTTCTCTATCCACGGACGCGTATCATAGCCGCCCTAGGCCTCCACAAGACCACATCGTACTATGTGCAATAGGAAAATGGAAGCTGCGTGCAGAGGAGAAGGAGGAGGTGGCGGGCGAGCAGGAGGATGAGCGGGAGGGAAAGGAGGATGAGGAAGGAGAAGGACGAATGCGAGTAGCAGCAGCAGGAACTGGAGTGGAAGGAGTGGGAGGAACAGGAGGACCAGTAGAAGGCGGAGGAGAGGGACAGAAGGGGGCGACAACGGTGAAAAAGACTCGGATGCAGAAAAGTGGCCGGCGCTGGGGCGAGAGCGCCATTCTGAACGACGGGAGCACAACGCCGATCCGAAAATGAGGCCCACGCTGCAGCGGGAATGCCAGTTTCAAACATCGAACACAATCAGACTGTAAAACAACAGTGAAAAACCAACTCGGCAAAATCCTGCGCATATTAAATAAGACGCGGAAGGGGCCAGAGATCTTCTGGACAGGGTCAGGGGAGAGAGAAGAGTAGCATAATTTTGTGCAAGTGCAGACAGAGGCGGAAGAGGAGGGAAACGACGACGTGGAGAAGCAGCGCGACAAGGACAAGCCGAAGCATCAAGCGAGTTGCAGAATGACGGCGGCGACGGCAACCGACGAGGAAGGAGAACCAACACACACACACACACACACACACACACACGCGCGCACACATACAAACATAAAAGGGCCCTGGGACACACAAATAAATACACACAAATAACAGGATTCCCCATATTTTGCCATATCTTCTGGGGTTTTGTCTTCCCCCCCACTTCCCATATTTTCCCATATTTTCCTGGGGATCGTCGATTAATTGTCCTCCTGAACACAGACAAACAAACATGCACAACCAAAAGCAGAAGGGCACTGGCCGTCCGCTGCTGTCTCGGTGGGGTTGCTGCAGGCAGGGCTGACTGAGAAGGAAGGTTGCGCGAAGCACGAGGGTAGGATGGGGGAAAGGGAGGGGACGAGGGAGAGGACGTGGGGGGGGTGAAAGGGAGGAGAAGGGGAAGGGGGGGAGGAGTGCGAGGAGGGAAGGACGACAGAGGAAGGGACGGAGAAAAAGGAGGAGCAGGGGGAAGAAGCGGGCATGCCCGATGCGGGGTCGCCTCGCTGCCGTGCTGAACCCTCCGGGCGCGTGCGCCGGGTGCGCTCCGACGAGGTTGTGGCGCTGCTGTGTGCGCGGCTGCCGAGCAAAAGAGCCGGAGGAGAAAGAAAAGGTAATTGCCGACCAAACCACCCCAACCCGACCCGAAGACCCAAAGTTCCGTTTGGGAAGAGTACGTGTTCCACATGTGTTGTTGCTGCGATCTCCGACGCCCCCCCCCAGTGGGGACGAGGGGCAAATTGGGGTTTTCGGATTGGGTTGGGGTGGTTGAGTGGGTGGTGGGGAGGAGGGCCAACAGGTCTTGCAGCCATCGCGCAGGGATACGCATTCCACCCCTCACGCCGAAACTCGAGGCCCAGCTGTTGGGACACTGATCATGAGCAGTGCCGTCGAAATGCTCACGGCGAGCTCTGGAAATGGACAACTGGCGCAGCCCAACTGATCCCCTAAACTGGGGGTGGCCCCCCCCCAAAAAAAAGCATTGCAGAACCAGGGAGAAAGAGGGGAAGGCTCGCTCGCTCGCACCTCTTCCATTCAAGCTGTTAGAAGTCTTGAGGCGTATGCGTGAACCTGGAGGTTTAACGACCTTATGCGATCACACCCTCTACTCCGCAGCTCCGTTCGGAGCACCGTGCACTCGCTAGTGGCAGATGACGAGGAGGGGGAAGGAGCAGGAGGAGGAGAAGGAACTCCGTCCGCTGGAACCCTTGAAATTGCACGGTGGAGAGCCATGAACCCTCGAATGATCCGCGACGAGAAGCCAGTCCTGGTGACCGGGTCGAGACCCATGGGGCTTCGCAGAACAAACATACGAAAAAACACGACATAGTGGAGGTCTGGGAGACTCCCGGTCGGCACTGGGCCGGGCGTCGGATGCGCCCCCTTCGCCCGGCAAGGGAACTATAATAGGATACAAACAAAAACGGCATCAGCATAATTTGTTAGCGCTCCGCGCGGATTTCTTGGATCTGCGATGGACCCCCAGCAAAGGTTTGCTTTTATGGCGTGTTCCTTCTTCGAAGCAGGGGAGCTACAGGCCTCGGAAAAATTACGAACACGCATGCCACATTCCTCGGTCGACGCCTCCCCCCCTCCCCCCAGCGTTCAAAGCTGGCAGTGGGGCCGACGAACTGCACTTCGACCGCAGCCTCCCCCGCGCGTGCCAACGTTGAGTTTGGGGGAGCGGGGGAACGTCAACTAATTGTTTCCCCCTGCCGTATAAGCTTGTGGATGCCACGACAATGGACACCCTAACAGCCCTATCCTTGAATTGAAGATGTGTTTAAAATGTCGGGAAAATGTTCTAAACATGTCTCACACATGTGTTTTTACATGTTTCGAACATGCTTAACAAATGCTTGAGACATCTGGAAATTATTTGGCAGCATGCTTCCTCTCCATTATCGGGGAAACCCAAAAACTGCAATGCAGGGAAACAAAAACTGCAACGCAGGTCTTCGCAAACCCGGGTCAGCCAACATGCGCGGCCGCCTCGCGGCCACGAGCGGCTCGCTAACCCGGGTCAGCCAGAAGGGGTCTTCGCAGGATCCTGCAGGATCCGGTGCCCTGGCTGACCCCCGTTTGCATTGACCCCCGTCTCGAGACTCCCGACATGAATCGACTTCCACAGTGTTTCCCCCTGCCGCATAAACCCTTCCTGGGCCCAGGACCGGACACCAAGCCACTGCCTGCGCGCTCGCCCCCGCGCTGCTGCACGGCCGGGGCGCGTGGCCGCCGGCTGCGGAGCGAGGAGAGGCCAAGGAGCGGCCCACCCTGCGGGGCGACACCGCCGGGGAGGGCTGGCATAGTTTTAGGTCGGGCCGGTCCCCCTACAGGCCGATTTTCGACGGAAGAGTATCGGGCGTTTGGCAGAACTGGGTTCAGTGGAACCTGGCTTAGTGATCCGTACCGGGGGCGCCCCCCCGTCCCATTTCCACTAACCGGAACTGCCGTCGCCCGAAAAAACACCAGCTATGGCAAACCTGGTTTAGTGATTCTGGCCAATTCAGAGGCTCCGGGGCCCTACCACTAACCGGGTCCCCTTACCTGGGGTCCTGGCCATACCCGGAATTAAAGATAGTCCAAAAATACCCCAAAATGGTCAAAGGTAGTAAAAAAATCGTCCCCAGACTATTTCTTGACTATTTGGGAATGTTCCTCCTGTAGAAGGACAGGCCCGACTTAAGCATAGGTGGCGGCGCGCAAAAGGGGGTATATGGGGGAGGGAGGGAGGTTTCTTCGAAGGAGGCTGCTTCTTAAAGGCGCCGGCCTGACATCTGCAGAGAAGGCCCCCACCTTCCAACAAACAGGGGTAATTCTAAGAAACCTCCCCCCCTCCACCTACCCCCCTTATGCGCGCCGCCAACATCAGGGGGATTCCCGATATTTTCCAATGTTTTCTGGGTCTTCGTTTTCGCCCCCACTTCCCGTAGTTTCCCACATGTTCCTCGGAATCGATGATTTATTGTGTCTGTGTGTGCTGTTCCCCCCCTGAGGAAGGTGACCCCCGAAACAGGAAGCCGAGGCCGCCGGCCTTGGCGACGCAGCGCGCAGACTCCCCACGGAAACGGGACCCGTCGGTAGCCCACGAACCCGGCGGTCGGACAGAACTACAGGATTGAGGTCGCGATGCGATGCGATGCGATGCGATGCGACCCACATTCCAGCCCCTATGGGGCGGTCCTCTAAGAGGGTAGGCGTATGGGACACGCAGTCCCGGCAACCGGGCGTGGTGGAAGATGATTCGCACGTGCGGAAACAAAGATGGAAGGACAGAGAGAGTGACTACCTACCAGACCACCCCAACCCAACCCGAAGACCCGAATTTCGGGTTGGGGGGAGTATGGGCTCCATATGTGTTTTTTCTATGTTCCCGGACCCCCCCCACTAGAAATCGAGGGTAAATCTGAGCCTTCGGGTTGGGTTGGGGTGGTTTGGTGGGTGGTGCGAGAGCTACACACAGACAGGCAGGCAGGCTACAAACAGACGGGCAGGAGAGCTACAAACAGACAGACAGGCAGGCAGGAAGAGGAAGAGGGTCGGTTCGGGAAGGGCACCCTGCTGCTCTTCGTGTTTGTTAAGACGTTCTCGCGCATCCTGGGGGATGGTGCCCTCGGATGTTCTTCAGCTTGGCCGGCGGAAGACCTCACGTGCTTGAAGGATGTGTTTGCTCTGCCCCCGGGCGGAAGAAGCGGGTAGCAACATGACTTGCGAAAGAGTTGGAACTAGACTTGGCTTCCGCCCGCCCCCTGGAAGAGGGAAGAGGGACAACCGCTCCACTCCATCATTGAAGTAGGAAGGCGCCAAAAGTAGGTTGGGACTTGGGCATCACAAAATACCTACCTTCAACGGTCGGCGCATGATTCATGTGTGCAAGTCCTCGACGGACTACACTCGGGCCGGGCGAAAGGGGGGGATAGCAAAGTGGGGGGGTGATAATCAGCTCACGTAGCTGGTTTTCCCGGCGCCTCCCCGGCGCCGGGAGGCGCCCATGCATCGAGGAACGGGCCCGCAGGGCCGAAACCAGCTGCATGCAGCAGATCTCGTAACCCCCCCTTCCCCTATCCCCCCCTTTTAAGAAGGGGCCCTGGGGCACACAAACAAATACATACAAATAACCGAATCCCCCATATGTTCCCATATTTTCTGAGTTTTTGTCTTCCCCCCCACTTCCCATATTTTCCCATATTTTCCCGGGAATCGACGATTCATGGTGTCTGTGCGTGCTTTTCCCTCCTGATTTTGGTCGGCCCGATACACTTTGGGCGCCCGAGTTATCCGGGGTAACTCGGGTCCGGGGTAACTCGGGTTCGGATTCCCGAAAAAGGAACCCGAGTTAGCCCTGACCCGAGCTACCCCTGATGATGTGGGGCTCTGGACGCCCGAACTATCCGGGGCAACTCGGGTCCGGGGTAAGTCGGGCTCGGATTCGCGAAAAACGAACGCGAGTTAGCCCTGACCCGAGTTACCCCTGATGATTCGGGGCTCTGATTTGGACGCCCGACATGGGTACCGAAAGAATGGGTACGATGCCCAACAACAAATGTTGTCCCAAACCAACAGCAACCGCTGTTTGGCAGGCGGCCTCCTGTCTCGAATGGACACAAGCCGCGGCGGCGTGGACAGCGGATCTTCTTCAAAATGAACAAGAGCCGCTGTTGGGCATAGTACCCATTCTGTCAATACCCTGAACACTGAACACTGACACTGATCTGAATCCGGTTCTGCTGGGCACAACGGAGTAGTTGTTTCACGATGAGCGTCATCAGCGTCTTGGTGTGAGTGGGGGTCTGTTGGTTCGCCACCTCGTACGTCTTCTTCTTGTTTTCCTCGTCGTCCCCGTCCTTTCTCCGGCGCTGGTTGCGCTCGAAGGGCATCCAGATCTGAACACTGACCCGACGCAAGCGCGGGCGGGCCTCGCAGTAGGCCTCCCCCGCCAGGCCCTGCAGCGGGTTCTGCGCGCCCGGGCCGGCCACGGCCTCCTCGCGGCCGGGCAGCGCTGCGGGGGCCCTGCCCGCCAGCTCCCTCCCTTATTCTAAACAGGGACCGGCCGTCCCGGCATGTCTATAGTCCTACAATCGGGGCCTTGACCTAAGGAACCCAAAATAAGGAACGGGGCCCCTTTTTTCCCACAAGTTAAACTCCGATTTCCCATCGAAAACCAAAGGAAAACCCGAGGCAAACTGTGATGCAATCAAGGAACAAGGATCAAGGAAAAGGGTTCCTTCTTCAGGGCCCCGACTGTACCATGAAATGTTTTTAGAACCCGAAAAATGTTCGAAGAACAAGAACGATGCTCTCAGAACATTCGCCCGGTGCGTTCAACCAAGACAGTCCCGGCCAGACATGTTCTAGGAGCCTTTCGCGCAGACCACACGAGGTTCTTAGAACATTGCCTGGTGGGGCTATAGGCGAGCCAGGACGCTTCGCCACTGCTGGACTCCCCACCCCCCCCGCGCGTTTCCCCTCTCCTATCTGAGACCTTGGCGTCGCAATTGTTTCGAACGGGGCGTTTTAGTCGGTTTTCGGGCCCCGCGGCCCTCACAAAACGATCCAGCTCGAAAAGTGGCGCAGAGAGGCGGGGCCCAAGGCTGCAAACGTGATTTTTGACGATGTTCCAATTTCGTCGCAACACTGGATCTCAGGATTCCCCCCTTTCCCCTCCCCATCCGTCCCTTTTCGCACTCCTCGAGTCGAAAGTGAGCCTGGTAACTCAAATAGGGCATATAGCCTGGCAAATTGCATCCATCGCTCTGCTGTGAGGGTACAGTATGAGGGGTGGATGGGTAAGATAGGATAAGATCGATGTAATGATCTTTCCAGCACATAGCGAACACAAGCAGTGTCCGGGCAAATAGGGCGCGCGTGCCTTGAGCCCAATGCAGCGGCGCGCGAGCTATGCTCCCGATACTGTAACATCTCCCAAAGAGCTACCCTTTAAAGTCGGGAGGGGAGGAGACGGAGAGCATAGTCGCACGCAAAGATCGCGCGCACGACTGTTTGCAAAGAAAAGAAAACAGTGCGTACAGTCTGGTCAAACACCAGACTGTAAGGCGAGTTTCCTCGCAAAGTATTTCACGCAAATACAGGACAGCCCCTTCAAACAATGAAGGGCTATCGGCTTAGTTAGAGGTAAGCCAAAATTAGGCCATACCTCACCAAGCAAATGTGTATTAAGGCAAAGAGCCTGAGTTGTACGAAGCCGGCTCGTTGCCAGGCGTGAAATATAAGGCTCGTTTCCGAGCAGCTAAAGGGGCGCCTTTATAGTAGGCGCCCGTGCTGGCAGACTGGACCGCGAGGGCAACAAGGACAGGCTAAAATTGATTAGACTTGGGTTTGTCTCTGTCCTCGGGACCCCGAAAGGGAACAAATTGCTTCACGTCATACTTAAATGACTGAGTGCCTGACATCACTTCCAGAAGCAGCTCCCGATCGATGCTTCCCTTTGTATGCCCATCTGCGGTCATATCCCTAGTATCACACCATTGCACATTATGTACTATACCTATATCCATGAGCTCACGTATCCAGCTGATATGTCCAAGCAGAGTCCGTTCTGTAGGTATTTTGAGATCCCTGCTTGATAAAGATTTGTAGACGGACTCAGCGTCTATGGTAAGAGAGACTTTGATAGCAAGGCCTCCAACTTCACGCATGTCTCGTAGTTGTCGTGGAGTCAAAGCCCCTGCCTTAAGCTCGTGGAGAGTAATGAGCGTAGGGTAACACTCATCAAGGTTATGTGCGGCTGCAAGTGCCTCCGCAGCATAACTGGACCTCACCTGTAATCGGTGTGATTTGCATAGTCCGTCACAGAGGTGAACGACGGACTTGCCTTGAGGCGAGTTTCCTCGCCGTAGTACGTTGGCCCCGCGTATGCCGTAGCCCTTGGTCTCGTCATCCTCCTCCCCGGTAAGCTTCCGATACCCCGAATCGCTATGGATGTCAACTTCATTCGTCGGCTTCATCCGAGGGAAGGTGATACGTTTCGGGCTGCTGATCAGCTTTCGCGTCACAGCATTCAAACGTCTGACTTGCAAATTGGTGGGCTCTTGAATTTTCTGAAGAGAGACCACATATACCATGAGCCAGATTTGGGTAAGAAGGGCATAGGCGAGGGCTCCTCGCAGGCTGACGAACATGTCGGTAATGAGTTTCGTGGCTTTGGCGTCGGCCGCCGCTCCTGTAAGTTCTGGGTGTGTGATAGGACGTAGTTGTTTAATGTACTCGTCCTGGTCCATGATCACATCTCCCTGATCATTCTTAGTGTAGCGAACGGCGCAGTTCGTATATGTGTGCTTGTTGAGCTTGCATTTGCCAAACACCTTTTCGGCACGTTGTACATAGTCGTCTATATTTTTCTCTAGACCTGTCATATTAATATCATCGACATGTTTTGCCGTCAGAAGGTCTTGGCTGAATTCAAATTCAGGATCGTAGCTGGTCGGTGTAAGTCCTATAGCTCGTGTGGTCGTACGGATTTGAGAGAGAACGCTCTTGGAGCGTCCTTAGTACCCGTTCCTGGTTTAAGGCATCTAAGACAGTGTCGACTTTCGTCGTAGGATGAGAAGCCGGGTAATGTACGAAGTACCTGAGCGCTTCCTGGTGGAAGAGTAAAGCAAACCATGCGAGTTTCCTCGCCGGTGGCATGGGCAAGTTCCTCATAGGTCAAACCCTTGAGGAACGCCTCATCGATATCCATGGATGCTAAGATCCACTCTGGATGGCATGCCGCTTCACTTGCCAGGAGTCGTTGGGACTGCCTTCGGGCGGTTCCCGAGAATGTTTCCACATCAAAAGCCTCAGTATCCATAAATCCACGAAGGACCAGTCTGAGACGAATGGTTTTAACGTTCTCGGTACCCATCTTTACGAACTTCCACTTGTATACATATCTGGACGTCATGATGTTGGAAGCTTTGGATAAATCGTACATCTCAAAGCATCGATTATCAATCCAGATTTTGAGCTCAGTATATAAGGCTTCACTAACCTCCTTTGGATGTGCTGCTATGTCGGCTTTGGTTAGTAGATCATCTTCTTTGACAACCACAGCACGTTTAGCAGCAGAGGATACATATACTCTCATCGTTGCGACCATATCGGTATCGAGCTGTGCAAGTTGAGTCTGATCCAACACTATTTTAGACATTTCTGATGTAAAGCATAGTTCAACGTAAGGACCGTATTCATCACTGTCTAGAGAGTAGCTCTCGTCGGCTGTGTTTGAACAGAGAGAGACTAGACAGGACTCACATGATTTCGGCTCGTCTCCGAGCATATCTGATGATATAGTATCATCTTCGTCCACAAATGCTGAAACCAAAACACACTGGTCGGGCAGCATAGTTGTTGGGACGCAATAAAGATAATCATCGGTAATCGTCGTAGGATGAAGGTCCATACGTAGCTCGTCGTACCACTCTTCCAGCATCATAGCTTCAATATTGTGTTCCTCATTTTCCTCATAGATTGTCGACAGACGGCCTTCGCTCGGCGATGAAGCGTCTGGTGTGTCTGGAGAAGGCCTGTTTCCAGGCGACTCGTGTTCTCCAGACGTGTTGCTTGGATGCTGATATTTAGCCAAATCGTCGTGAAATCCTAAGGAAGGGACACGTGAAGTCAAGCATTGAATAAGTCTGGAGTGAGTGCTACCAGTGATCTGAGAAATGTTTAAGCCAGTGCCCACGCATTCCGGGCTGATGTCGTTGTCATAGTGGATCAGCGTAGACCTGGTGGCGTACTTTACTGCAGGTAGGCTTGACACACTCTTAGCCAATCGAACTGCTACTACATGTTCTACTCGGAAGTAATTCCGTACGAGATACTGTAGTGCTAAGTGTACGCGCGGGTGAAACTTGCTGTCGTCTGACAGATTAAGGTTTCCCTTGTAATCGGGGATATACCCGAAAACTTTGGCAGGTTTCCCTGCGCTGAGGTGTGCCACATAAGCAAGGACGGTTTGCATGGCCATATTATCCATGCCAAGTTCCCGTGTGAGGAGACATTCGATGTATAGTGTGTGACGAGCATCAGGATACATCACAATTACCTCACGAGATCCTGCCTTGACAACAATATGTCCTCTTTCAGGCACGTTTCGGATCACCGGGAATGGGCCGTTCCAGCCTCCATGGTCGTCCTTGGTGGCAGTAGGTCGGTGGTAGTCGACCAAATCCCCTGATGAGTAGAGGCGAGCACCATCAGGAGTCGTCTTAGCCCTAAGAGCCCGATTTGTCTTGGCTACAGCAGTAGCCTGAGTTATGGCTTCGAGGCTGACTTCCCTTACACGACGTTCTCGTTCGTGTCCTGAAGTCTCGGGTCCCTTGGGAAAGTCAAGGGTATCGAGATCAGGAAGGAAGGAGGGCTGACGTCCTGTGTGTGCCTGATATGGCGATACTCCGTTATAAAACGTAAACGCATTAGTAACGAAGATGCCTTCCGCCAATACTCTAGTGAATACAACAGGGATGTTGTGTCCATTCAATTCTTCCTCAATCATGTGGAGGACGCCTCTGAGAATGCCGCTTCGTGACTCAATTGAAGTCGCGTGTTGGCCCGGTGCTCGGATACGAAGTTCCGTGCCCTTATTGGCCATCATGCTTTTAGCGGCATCATTATCCAGGGCGCCTTCTCCATCTGAGTATAAAACTTTGAAGGGTCCGTGATAGGCAATCCAGCAGTAGTGGTAGGCGTCGATGATAGTGTCGCGTTCTCTGTCGGAAATTTCAAGGCCTGCTGCCAGGCGAATACAACGATCCATAATATGAAATATGGTCCGTTTCTTGTAAAACATGAAGTCCATTTCCCCTTCATCGAGCCAGTTACCAGGGAGGCTTACCGATGGTAATGTCGAGTTTCCTGGACGTTCCCATGCTCTACATTCCCGACAGGTATCGCAGATTTCCTTGATCATGTTCAGTCGAACATTATCAAGCCCCACCTTTTCGAGGATTAACCTCATTTTTGGCTCCTTCGCATGATA